GTACAAGGACATACAGGTCCCTCTATCCAGCAGTATTCTGCAAGATCTCTCCACTTTAATAATTTTTTTTATTCCTTCTGCCAAAGTGGATAACCTGATATTTTCCCACATTATATTCCACCTGCCGGGTTTCTGCCTGCTCTCCGAGCCAATCGACATCCTCCTATTAATTTGCTTTCTTATCCATCCTTGTATCATCAGCAAATTTAGTTAGAATAGTCTGTCCCTTCAAGGCCATTAATATAGATTTGGGGCCCTAACTTGATCTCCATGCCACTCCATTTCTAATCTGTTGGGATATTTCCAAATTCTAAAGACATTTTGAAGATTACAAGCAATACATACATTAACTGCAGCATTTCTTTTAAAACTGCAAGGAATCAGATCAAGGGATCTTAAATCCCATTTCTTTTTCCGCTGGTGATCAGAAAGTTCTTTCCTCCATTTTACATTTCAGAGTTCTACTATTCCTCAGATGATTTTTGTGTATTCCATTGTTCAATCAATGTTCAATGCTGCTACAAATCTTTTACTTTTCATTGGATGTAGGCTGGAATGCTATTGCTATTGCTATAGCCATGGTTACTTTATCAGCCATCTTCCCCAATTCCTTATATGCTTTTAGCCATAGGTCCTGTGCTATGGAACCTTTGTTCCAGGGCCAGACTAGCATACTATAGAATTTTACCCACTGGAGCCATTTTTTAAACAGGGATTGTTTGAGAGTATCTTCCCAATCCTGACACTGAGACGCCTTTTCCAATTTAATTATTCTTCGGGGTAAAGGAATATGTAGGGGTTCAACAGATGCTAACACCTTTGGAGTCCCCATGCAAGAGGTAAAAGCCTATGTCTCTCCAGGTTTGCTTCTTCAGAGTTCCACTATACCCCACTATCACTTTCCAACTTGTGCTTTGCTGTTCAAATTCCAGAACACCTGGTTTATGGCCGAAAATTGTTCAGTCCCGATGTCTTATTCGCTCATGTTAATCCTGGCCTTCATGTTCAGCACGTGCCTTATGAACAATTGACTCAGGCTGAACATACAAGACACCAGGCTAAGTTGATGGTTCACGTTCAAAGGACCCGACGGTCACTCTTATCCAAGAACACCGACAGATGCCAAATGTTGTTCGAGCCCTTTCAGACCCATCAGACATTTCAGCCAATAACCCAGGAACCCCACAATACTAGAATGGTCAAATCACGAATGGATGGATACATAGTTAGAAATTTGTTACTTGTATTTATGAAAATACAGTAAAATGCGTACAAGTCGCCACAAAAGCAGCGCCATTTAATTATGTAAATTATATATTAAAAATATGAGATAAAGTTAAGACAAATATAATTTTTGCTCATTCCACAGCCTCTTGACCACTGCTGAAGATCAGGGCCTGCCCAACCACTGAGGGCGGTTGGGGGGTGGGTAGGGGGGGTTGCTGTTGAAGGTGAAAGGGAGTAGATGGCCAGGAGCCCGAACACTACCTAAGCTGCTGTCTCTGCCATCTTGCTATCAAAACAAGTTACATCTTGGTACCAATGCAAGCTGTTACAACTTTATTAAGGAACAAGTAATAGTAAGACTTTAACACTAACAATACTATTCCTACTCCTGCCCAATCTCCTTAGTCATTACAATTCTTTCTAGAGTCTCTTGTAACTTTCGTCGGGTTCTCAAAGTCGTTGTTCTCTTTTTTTTCCCCTCTGGACGATCAGTCAGTCTTTGCCTTTGACACACCAGTTACTGCTTCTTCATCTCCAGCAGGTCCAAGAGATCGATCTGCAGGTAAGCCCTGTTTTTATACCTTTTGTGATGGTTTTCTGGCCAATCAGGGACCTTGGTGTAATGTTTGAAATATTGTCAATTGTTTGGATGGCTTACTAATGTTTGCTTCTCTGTGTAGCAGAGACTGGGTGTCTTTCTGTCTGGTTTTTGGTTGAAAATTGCATTTCTCCATTGTTTATTTGAACTGTTTACGAGATGTGCCCTTTTACACTGTGCTAACCTCATTAGTACCTGCCTGCTGTGTTTGTATTGTGTATAGTTTATCAGTTTTCAATGTGCTGAGTATTACTTGGCTAACATGTCCCACACCCAGTACCCCTTGCTGTTTAGCCAAGTTGGCAAACTTACTTGTGTTTTAGCAGCCATTTGATTGCTACAGCGCCACAAAGTGCCAGGCAATGACCTTCTCTAATATCAGGAAATATAATCATTGTTCCCTTGACATTTAATGGCATTACATGAATCCCCTACCATCAACATTCTGGAGGTTACCATTGGTGTGAGGGGGATTTGACCTGACTGAGGTGGACCCTACAAAAATTAGCAAAGGCCTGGGAAAAGGAAGTTAAGGAAGAGGACAGAGCTAGAAATCAATCTAGGAGACCAAGGAATAATACCTCTCCATACAAGTCCCCAGACCCCAGATGAAGGAAATTCCCATCAACAAACCCCAAACCAAATACATACTACAATTGGCCTGAACCAGCCATTTCGTTTGAGACTGCCAAGCGTCAAACCTGGCAGCTGGAAGTCTGTTAAGATCGGCCAACACCCACAGTACCATCCTGGCAGCATCAGCTAGAGCAAATGCCTCAGAGGATCCAGCCTAACGAGCCCACCTGGCTTGTGTCAATGAGGTAGAAACTACAACCCCTTTCTGATGCTCAATGAGAATATGTAACGGTGTACAGCTGTGGCGGTCTGGGTGAGTGACACTACAAGGGACAGCATGGGAGACCTCTAGTAACTAGAATTAATAATAAGCCCTTTAAATTTCTTTGTGACACTGGCAATCCCTGACAAGCTTAAACACAAACAGATGTACAGAGTGTAGCAGACAAAAGTTCATATACCCTGAGCAGTTTCACTGGCCATGCATAACTGTAAGGGACCACCTTGCCATGCAGTTCTGGATCACCATGCCATCTTTGATTCTGGCTTCTACTAGTAGTTGCATAGAAGTATGTTTTGAGAGTGTGGTGAGGGTGTTTAAACCAACAATATATGAGAAGCCCAGAAAACTACCAGTAAGCGTCACTCACAGAGGGAGAAGCCTTGCTGAATCAGAGTTAATAGCCTAGAAGCATAAGCTACTTGCCCAAATGTGTCATGTTGTTCTTGTAGCAGTACAGCTTTAGAGAGTAGTGTCAGTGGTCACTACCTCTAGTGCGAAGGGCTGCAATATCTACTCAAAAGATACCATGGTGTAGAGCTGGATGAACACAGCAGGCCAAGCAGCATCAGAGGAGCAGGAAGGCTGACGTTTCGGGCCTAGACCCTTTTTCAGAATATCTACTCAACTTTTTTTTCTTTATTCGTTCACAGGATAAGGGCATCGTTGGCTAGGCAGCATTTATTGCCCATCCCTAATTGCCCAGAGGGCAGTTAAGAGTCAACCACGTTGCTGTGGGTCTGGAGTCACATGTAGGCCAGACCAGGTAAGGTTGGCAGTTTCCTTCCCTAAAGGACATTAGTGTACCAGATAGGTTTTTCCTGACAATCGACAATGGATTCATGGTCATCATTAAACTCTTAATTCCAGATATTTATTGAATTCAAATTCCACCATCTGCCACAGCAGGATTCAAACCCCGGTCCCTAGAACATTACCTGGGTCTCTGGATTAACAGTCCAGCGATAATACCACTTGGCCATTACTTCCCCGTAATCTGACACTTGTAAGGAATCAACAATTTAGCAAAGAACATCAAGGCTAAACAGTAGCGTTCATTCTGCTTAATTTTGATGTTTAATTCCAAGTCCAACTGGAAATTTCATTGAAAAATAGCCACAAAGGTCAAGTAAGTTTCTGCATTCTTTGCAAATTAATTAAAATATTAAATATAAGTAACCTAGAGTAATTTTGTCGCAGGGAATTTTTTCCTGAAGCGGACCCACATACCACCCAGACTGTAACAAGAAAGCTTTCAAGAGGTAGTTCAAGTTATGAGATAAATTCTAAAGAATCACCACTATGTCCGAGAAAAAGTCCAGGACAATAAAATGCATGAACACCTGATAGAAGCATGGAAGTCAGTTATTTCCATGGACATAGGTCAACTCTTCATAAAAACAGAATTGGTCTGAACAAGTGTTAAAGAGCCATCCAACTGATAGGATAAAGAAATCTTGAAAACTTGTGTTCTCCACTTCTTCACTTCTAGTCTGTGGTAACGAAAGCAGTGATTACAATCATTTGAAAGATTAGGTACAACAGGCATCTCTAGCCAGACAAAAAAAGGAGTGTTTGGGCAACCAACTTTCAGTAGATCAAGGTACAAAAATAGCAGATGAAGGGTCACCGGACCTGAAATGTTAACTCTGATATTTTCTTCACAGATGCTGCCAGATCTGCTGAGCTTTTCCAGCAACTTCTGTTTTTGTACAAAATAGCTGCACTTATTATATATTATACAATTAAGTATTCCCTTAGAAAACCTGAGTAATAGTTCAACTGGTACTTTGTTGAACCTTCCATGAACAATGAAAGTAACTGCTGTATAATGCAAAGCTTTTTCCTCGTATGTGGTAGATAATCATCAGTTAGCTTTGCATAATCAAACAGAAATCAAGTTACTAGCAAACTGATGTATTTTCAGTCTCCAAGAACAGTGCTCTGCTCCAATATTCAATAATTCAAAGAACATCCTTTGAGTTTCCCTAGCAAGTAAAATGGAAGGCAAAGCATGTGTTAAATTGCTCCATTTGAACAACTGGCATTGTATTATTTCATAAGACTTTAATTAAATTTGTTAGGACCAATATACATTATGAAAATTAAAACATTTTTTTCTGAAAACCCCCAAAACATGATTTAAACAAACAGAGACTAATCCTGCATGCTGAAAAATATCACTGGAATGTGTATATCTCTGTAGGTTGCATAAAAAGAAATGGCTGCCAAAGTGAACCGTTTCATCCTTTCAACAAAAAAGTACGATTTCAAACATAAACCATTGTTTTGGAAAAAATAACAAAATAAAGTTTTTACCTCAAGTGTTGACAATATTATTTCCATTCCTGATGAACCTTTGGCTGTTATATCTTTCTTCACTCTTTCTGCAAATTCAAATCAATCATTAAGTAATGCTAAATACTTGGCACTAAAACTAACAATAGTAATATCCAATATTTAACTTTAATTTATGATATGAACAAACTACTATGCATGTAACTAGAAATTAGTTTTTGCATTAAATATACCACATACGAATGATTTCATGCAGTAATTTATTGTTGCTAGTTGGCTCAACTTGAAGAAATTGTTCTTCATTTAACAAAATATCAACACCAGAAACAAATTAATAATCCCAAAAGCAGACGCTAGTTTTGCATAGATGCAGAATAATGAAAATTCTGTTGTGAATGCAATTACAGTTCTTTAAACAAGATTATATTTTGTATTCAGGAACAGAAACGAAGTTGCTGGAAAAGCTCAGCAGGTCTGGCAGCATCTGTAAAGAAAAAGAATCAGAGTT